AATGCTCGGGGAAACAAACCCTGCAGACTCGAAGCCTGGTACCATCCGTGGTGACTTCTGCATTCAAGTAGGAAGGTTTGTGCCCAGTTTCTTATCAACAGAAATGAAAATGTCAATGTTGGCAGTCTTTTATTCTAGAATGTCAAAATTGTTGGCACCGATAGCCTAGTCTGATGGTGTTTTATTTTCAGGTCACAATCCATAACTGCTACTTAAGAAATGGCTTGGTACAACACTGTCTTTTTTTGAAATACAGCTCCTCATCAGAGCTTCATGTAAGATCAGTCAGTGGCATTGCCCGGTGTAGTAACGTAGTGACCTAGCACTAGTCACCCTGGTAGGGTTAATTAGCCCTTCCCAGGGGGGTGTTTGAGCACTGTACCTGACATAGTAGCCTTGCAGCTCTAGATGCTTCATCCAAGCTTTTGCATAGGGAGAACTACAAGGTTGCTGAAAGTGTATTTTTATGTGAAACAATGTGTTTGTTTCCTTTCACAGAAACATCATTCATGGCAGTGACTCCGTGGAAAGTGCGCAGAAGGAGATCAACCTGTGGTTCAAACCTGCAGAGCTCATTGACTTCAAATCTTGTGCACATGATTGGATCTATGAGTGAAATGAGTTACCACAATTAATTGTGCCTTCGGAACACATCATCTCATTCCAGCTATTGACCTGGGAGCAATTATCACCACGGTTATCTTAGTCATTTTCATCACTGTCAAATAAATGGATATGAACTAATTCATTGTGGTGCATTCACTATATAACAGACTATGGTGTCCAGATACATCAGTCATTTTCCGTAGTCATTCAATATTTTCTGTTTGTAGAAGGAAGGGTTAAACACAACTTCCATGTACAGCCATAGCAGAATAAAAATTCAGGGACATTCAGTTCATCGCAAAGTTGCTTTGAAGGCTGCTGAAATACATCACAGTTTCAAAGCCAACTTGCAGAGGGAGAGTTGAAGGATGCTTGAGCTATTTCCCATGTAGCAGAACTGAAGTAGAAGCAAAATGCAATATTACCCGTGACAAAATTTCCCTCCCTATACAACTATTAATACTGTGAAGTATGAAACCAAGGGCAAAGCTTTCTCTATTAAACGCTTATTTAATGCCACCTCATATTAAAATCCTTACCTTGTGCTCAGAGCCTCTCATGCTTTGTTTCTGCTCTAACAGTTCCTCAAAACAGTAGTGGTCTTAGAAATGGTGGGTATTTTTTTGATCTGTATTTCTTAGGAGAGAAGCCAGCTGGAATGCATTTATGTAGGTACCAAGGAGGCCTTTTAAACAAAACAATCACTACTCAGAAAGAGACTTTTTATCATTTTTATTTTGTGTAAAAAAGGCAAATTTAGTGAACTATTTTCATCTTGTACACAAAGTTATAATTTTAATGCTTTTCACATCCATGCTGAAAATCTGCAGTCTCGTAAAAATGAAAGTAACATTAATTTCTCCAAAAGCATTTCTTTCACTTAGTTATGTACATTGCATGAGAAAGCTTTAAATACTCTCTCATTGACCACACAAATTGCCAAGAAAATAAAAGATTAAATTTGTACAGATATTGATCTATATATCAAATACATACAGAAATGATGTAAAAACCCCATTTGTTTCATCTTGATTCCCGCCCCAACATTCTCCCAGGGGCCAAAGCTGATGCCTTTTTTGTATAAATGGCTGTGGCTTTTTGTTTTAAATATGAAAATTAAAAGGAAGAAAAATTCAGTTTAAATCACAGTTTTTCAAAATCCCTTCCCAATAAAGGATTGTTACCAAATATATTAGCACCATTGTACAAATATTGATGGGAGAGGGTATTCACATCACATAAAACAACAATAAAAAAACAAACAAACACTGAAACCCGTGTTAGTATCCGTAGAACAAGGAACTGATAACTGCTTTAGCTTTCCTCAGATGCAGCACAGAAAAGGTTAAAGAGTTGTATTTAAAATAACAAAGATCAGCAGAAAGATTTGGAGCAATAAAAGAAGGGTAGCTGCCAAGTATGGTACATAACTTGCGCTACCTCATGGTTATAAAATCCTGCTATGCCAAATACTGAAATTAGTTTGACCCCATTGAAGATTTCAGATGTCCAACACTTTGCTGCTCTTTTAGCCAAGTGACATGGCTTATAGTAAAGCGGAGATAAAAATACCTCGAGCCATGTTACTAATGAACGCTTTACAAATACAGTGAAGCCTGTGCTATGGATACCACAGCCAACAGGCAGCCTGCTCTTTGAAGAGACCCTTCCCTAAATACCTGGCAGAATTTTGCTCAGGTTTTCCTTAAACCTCTCCTAAGCACGTGATTTCAATTAGTTCTTTCTGTGGTTTGCTTAGGACAGATTTCACTGTACTTGACAATTACACAGTTAGGTGTATTTTGAATTCAAAAACACAAAAGAAATTGCACTCAAATCTCAACAGGCAGCTCCTCCTGGAGTCACGTGTATCTGAGAATGCAAGTCCACTCACGTACTTTAGTGTTTAATGAATAAAATACCTATTTTTAAAGAACATTATAAAGAGTGACAGACTTCAAATCCGATTCTTACATTTCTCCAACACAGGCAGTGTGTTCAACTTCAGTGCTAACCTTCCCTCTTGACATCTGAAGACCGTAACTCAGAGATCAGGTACGAGCCTGGGCAATATGCAGAGGCCCAAGTAGTGACTTGACAATATACCTTGCTCATCACTAGCCCAAATGTTCACATTATGAAACACAAATTAATGCAACGGTTTTTCTACTGAAGCCAGAAGCTATTGATGAGAAAAGAAAGCAAAACTGTGCCAACCTCATTCCAGCTGACTGGGACAATCTGCAAGCTGTCACAATTAAAAAAAAATAAAAAATCAACAGTGATGTACTTACCAAACCAAATCAATGCTTGCAGAACTGGACTTTACAGCAGGTTAAATGGAGAACACAGGAAAAAAATAATCAAGGCTCAAAGTGTCATTACAATGGTCTCTAATCCTACTTCTCCAATCCAGGCTGTTCAAAAGAAACATCATGGGTGGGTCAGAATCTGAGAGAAGGTATTTGAAGTCTACCAAGCCTGACAAAGTCCTTTTTATGGCTATTTTAGAGAGCTAAAATGTCTTTACCACCTGAATTTACAGATACTTATAATCTGATAACCAGATTCTGCAAATGTAAGAAGCTGTTGTTAAAAAGGGGTCATTATTGAAGAAATTTTACCATTAAGGGAGAAAAGAATTCCAGACATTCCTACACTCTACAGGACATTTTTTACTTCCAGTAGTAAATACAAAACTTTACATAATTAACTCCTCTTGCATAGAATGAGGTAAACCTGTGCATATTACCAATAGTATGTACCCAAAGTTAGAGCAATATTTTAGAAAATAATCAAATTGCTGGTTTTCAACTTTCTATGCACTTTTTTTTTTTTTAAGCTTAAACAATAATATACAAAAATGGTCTCCTGGGGCTCTGTGGGTTGATATCCTTAAAGCATTTCTCAGGCTGTAGGAACGCAGACATGAATAATTTTGATTGGGTTTTGTTAAGCCCTAATTTATGTCAAGAGCCAGATGATCATTGTACTGCTCTGAAGGGGACCTGCTAAGACCCAAGAAGCACTTATAGAACATACGCAGTTAATTCCTGAGAGTTTAGTTAATGAACCTTACTGGTAAAAGCTAAAGCTCTTGATGCACATTTTTCCAGTCACAGCTCTGCAGGGCTGATTAACCATTTTACTAATCAACTCCATGAATGACATCATTTACAAAAATGTACAAAGTTTAAAAATATGGAAAGATAAACTCCAAATTATTAAGAGTTCATGCTAAAATACTCTGTATTTTACTGGTAGTCATTCTCACCCTTTTACGTGACTTTTGCCTTTACAGAAATCTGGACAGTTAAGCAGGTGGGGCTAATGGGATACTTGAAGTGAGACACAAGGATTCCAGGCAATAAGCAAATCCAGTTTAGGAATTATATACTAGACAGCATATGATTGATATACTGTTCTCAAGTCTCAACTTCCATGTTACACTATTGCAGCAAGGAAAGAACATTGCGGGCTGTGCAGAACGGAACTCTTTTTTAAATCCATGATGTATGGCTCCTTTTAGCGCAACTGAAACCACATGGAACATCAGTTTTGAATGTTCAGAAATAAGTGTTTAAGATGGTAAGGAAACATCTAGGTCTTTCTGAATGGAAAAAATAATCAGAAGAATACTCAGAAGATCCTTCCCACTGCCAAGGGAGGCCTCAGTTACTGTCTGCCCAAGTTTCTTCTTCAGCCTAAATTCATAGCTAAAACTAATCTTCCAAATGAGGGAATTTTCTGAAGTTCCAGTTTGGCATAGGGCTCTGTAAACATTTCCTGAAGCATTCCAAGACTACAGATATTCATGTACAGAAAAGAGCTTTATAGCCCCAATCCAATGCCCACTGCAGTCAATGGAGACAAGGCTACTGATACTGATGGGCACTGAATCAGACCCTAAGGAACCTTTAAAAAAAAAAAATCTTATATTTAAAAAAGTATTTAAAACTAATAAAAACATCTTGAAAAGTTAAAATCTTCCTCAGGTGATGGCTCCACTGCAATTGGGGCTACTCACTGAGTAGAGCTTTACAGGACTATCTTCCACATACAATTTATGCCTCTAAATTACGGCTTAAATGCCTTATCTTCACAATAAAAAAAACCAGAGGCGTGACCAGTGCAGTTCACAAGAGCCTAAGTCTCCCAACTTGTACCAAAAAGGTTCATTTGTTATGACAGTTCATTTGTATTTGCAACTATATCTTCCTCCAACCGCTTCCCACAATCATGCTAATTAAACTTTAATCTTACCAAAAATTAGAATTTCAGTTCTTGTTAACAATGCACAATAAATCTGAACTTGAAAATATTACAAAATTCTTTCAAAAGTTTCAAATACAACACAAAAGTGTCCATTTTTGTTTTTCATAAATTGAAAAATCTTTTTCACTAAAATAGTTTCCCCGCCCTTCCAAAAAATTCTGAACTGAGTCTAACTCATCTACAGTTAGCAAAGTGCCCCAGGCACAGTCACCTGAACTGTACCATCAAAGTGGGAACAAAATCAGTCAGTCTTGGAGAAAGGCTCTTTTCCTATCGCCAATATTCTGCCCCTCACTTTTCTGAGCTGCCTCATGGTTCTTGTTTGATGTAGTAACTGGCAGATCCGTTGCTTTCCTGATCAGATGCTCCTTGAAGGAAGCTATACTCCTCTCCATCTAGCAACTCGTCCTTCAGCTGCAATGAAGTCACTAAAAAGAAAAAATGAATATTAAACCTGTATAAAACTCAACGTAAGTACAACCCTTCTTTAAACTTAATATTATTTCAATAGGGAACAGACCCCAGCTTTCCCATTTTCTTATATTCTGCATTTTAGTGATTCTACTTTTAACACTCAATATCCCATAGAAAGCAGATGCTTTTTGACTGTAAATTGAACCTAAATTCTTGAGAAAACTCTGTAGAGAATATATTATTGTAAGTAACTTGTTCAAATATGTTAGACCACAAACTTTTTAATCAACAGGAAAAGTGCAAACACTACTTTGTCACCCACTTTTCTTATGTCCTTTGTACTGTTGGGATTTAGCTTTTTTCTTCTGTTTCGATGAACTTGACTGGCTATCTCTTGATGCTGCAAAAAAAAAAAAAAAGATTCAAAATGAAAGTTTAGTATTTTGGAAAAAACCACTTCAGAATGTGTTCAAAGCTGACATAGTTTTAGAACTTCTTAGTGAGAATGAAGACAGAATACCTTTATTGTGCGAAAAGCCTCCCATTAAACTAACAGAAACTACTATTACAGTCCCAAACAACTAACAGCTCTTGAAATATAGTTGTCAATTACTATCATATATAGCCTGACCTGACAGGACAAGTCTTCATGCACTAAATAAAATACAGCCTTCTCACATATGTACTTCTGCATATGAATCAAATAAGCATCATCTGGCATTAAAAAATAGCAAGGAGCCACAGAAACACCCAGAAGTACATTAAAAATTCAAGTGGAAGAGATTAGAACTCTAAGCACAGGCAAGAATTTGTTCTATTTTTGTTACGCCTGGTGACCTAACTTGAAAAGGATGAAGTCAGGAAAATCATCACCCATGAAGAAGGACCAGTAAGCAACCATGACATTCTTCACAAAACAGAACTTACATTGTGGCGCTGGAGGCTGTAGCTGATATCCAGTTAGCTGACACCATCCTACTGGATAGAGGTCTGGGGACTCGCAATCCACCCACTGGTCATATTCATCTTCCCACCCATCAAAGTGTATCCTCAACAGACGATGGATAATGCGAGTTACTGTGGCCACACATACCAGGCGAGGTTCCATCAGATCAACGGCCTCCAGTTTCATTCCAACATGAAACCCATGGTTTGGAACTTCCTGGAAAACCAAACACAAACAAGGTAAACATCAGTGAACAAACATGTGAATTAAGATGGTTTAAGCACAGTGTTGAAGCAAATATTTTGGTCAATTTAATGTTGGAAAATACCGAGTATCATTTATGAAGTTTCATGTACCCCTGTATTTAACATTTCAGAAATATTCAAGCTTAATATACTCATATGGTTTCTATTTCTAAAAGTCTGTTTTAGCTTTTCAAAACTGTATTTAAATAAATGGGTCAACCCCACGGACTATGCAGACGGAAATGTAAAGATAATATTAACTGCAGTTTAGATACTCATGGATAATGTTGATTACCTTATTGAAGAGCTTTACAGGTGCTGCTATTGAGTCAGTTTCCCTGAGGTAGTCAAACCATTTAAAAGGGAGTTTTGCATAACCTGTGAATTTTAAACATTTTCATACATCAACTCCAAACTTCATGCATAGCAACAACAAAAATAGTATATTGGCACTGTGTTATAGCTAAAAAGACAACAAAGAAGCAAAACACTAACATCAGAAACTTCCACTCTCTGAGCTTTGGTCTAACGGACAAGACAGTCACCTGGACATTGCCCATTTGCAACAAACAAGATGAATGAACCTCTGATAATATAAAAAATGTCCTTTCACTTTAAGATTAATCACTCATAGTTGAAGCTTTCTGTCCACGTAGATCCTTGATCTCTACAATGCCCCACAACAGATCACGTAACTAAGCACATTCAGTGTCTTTCCTGTGGGGAAAGAGCTCCACTATCAAAACACTTGAACTGTTAGGAACAGAGTGGTAAGAACAAGCATGGATATTTTAAAACTTAAATAAGGCTAAAAAATAGCAACAACTCCACGATTTTCTTCTTAATACAGAGTCCCTCTGGCTAGACCTGTAGGTTTGTACCCAAGTCCTTCAACCTCTCACCACACACACACTAGAGACGTACACGTGGACCTCATTAGAGCAGTCAGAACTAAGAAACTGTCCGTCTTCAAGCTTGAAATTTGGAAAGCAAAATACACCTCTCATAAGAGCTAAGAAGCTTTGATCACTTTGATCCTATTAAATACGTTAATGCGCATTATGTTCTGTATTTTATTTCTGTTAATTCGTCTTTCAGATGACTTCTAGATTAAAGCATGAGTGATTTACAATCAACTCGCAGTGGATGATACAGGACTTATGGAAAATTGCAATAAAAGGGAAAATGTACTCATAGATAAAGAACAAGATTGCCAGGATACAAGAATCACAGAAGTATCATGAATCTGTTAATAACCAAATTCACACACTGTGAGTAGTGTTTGAAGAGTAAAGAGGAAAAGTTTCACCACAGAAGGGAGGGTTTTTTCCTATTTTGTATCATCAGTTTAACGTATTTATTTCTAAACTGATTGACATGTATTGATATGAATGCTTTCTCCTCCCACAAAAGCTTTTCCTATTGCAAGAGATGCTTGCACTACATATTTTTTTGAGGGGTGATAATGCCCATGAATTCCTAGGCAATAAATTCACTAAATGAGCTGACTGGAAACTAACAGTAAATCTGTCCAACTGCACTTTCCACATACTCAAAGACAAAAGATTCATTAGTGTGCAATAATGAAAATGATATGAAATTCTTTTCTTCACATTGCATTACACTCTTTGTAGTTATTACCTAGAAACATAATTCAATAAATACAAGTAGAAGCCTGCAAGAATGAGAATAGAGAAAAAAAAAATCCATAGAAAACCATCACTATTTCCTTTTACACAGCTAGTTACAATCCTCTTTATAAACTGCTAGACCAAGACAATAAAAGGGAAAAATGAAGGCAGCACAGTCTCTGAAGGCGTACGTGCTAGTGGACAGACAGCTTTTTCTCACAGAAGGGATTACGCAGCATACAGCTCTAATGGCTACTTCCTCGAAGCTCAAGTTTGTGCATATTCTTCAAAAAATTAACTGGTATTGTTGTAAATTAGCCCGAGATTCTCTACAATGCTGGTTAATTCTTTTGGTGGCCAGGACTTCCCAAGCAATGACAGATTCTGAACAGTCCTTTTAGTCACTAGCATACTTCCCATTCACTTCAGGGAAATACTATTCAACTAGTGGCTATCCTCAATTTCTGAGAGCAAAAGCAAATTATTTTAGCCAGAGGATCAATCAGATATTCCATTTTCCTTCTTCTAAATGAAAAGTCTGTTATCTCTGTTTTAGATTATTTTGACGTTATGCTGTTTTATTTGTTTCAGACTTGAGAAAGTCCTAAAAAGTGACATGAATTTCGTAGACTGAGTTAAGCAACAAAGCATATGGCACATACAATATCACTGGAAAATATTCAAAATAAAATGTGGTCAGAATGCTATATGTACCTCTGGGTGGAGTTAGTTCAATCATGTTAATTTCACAGAAACCAACAGGGAAAATAGAAGGGGAAGTGGCATGGTAACAAAACCAATCAGACCCATCTGCTGCTTCTGAGCCATCAATCCCAATCATAAGATAGCCATCTGCTAAAACCTTTGTAAAGAAAAACAAAATTTTATATTAAATACCTTTAACTGTGTGATAAGGCTAGAAAGAAAGCATGCCATGTTTCAAAAGAGTGAAAAGTAACTCAATAATGGAAGTACACTTAGAAGGACATTCAATTATAGCAAAACGAAAAAGCCCCAAATCATACCTGTCTCTGAGATAGTGAGCGCTACTGTCAAACGGACCTTTGCTAACTGCAAAGTTACAAGATATAAACATCTCCTTTCTCTGATCTCTATTTAATTTTTCATGTGAACATAAGTTCTACTTCTAAAACTTTATAATTCAGTCTGCTCTTTAGCTTGCAAGGATATTCTTCACACCATTAACAAGAAAAAAAGACTTGAAATCATAACCACACTCCTCCTCAGTAAGGTTATGGCACTCTGCTAAGCTACCGTTTGCATTTTCTTCCTCTTTTAAAACAGATTTCACATGGATGGGATCCCTTTCAATCAAGATAGGAAAAAAAGTACATCCTTAAAATGTCTTCACAGACTTCTGCAAGTGAGCAAGATGTTTCTTTTTGAACAGTTGCAAAACATTTGGTATAATTAGCAGAACATTATCCTGCAAATTAATCTCACAAACATATTATATTCTAATTAAAGGTAAGGCTGAATTTCCAGAGATTATAGTCAAAATTAAAAAAAAGAATTACATGAGTATACTCTCTTTCATAGCAGTTCTATATAAACAATTAACGGATGTATTCCATAAACATTCTCTGTGTGAACGAACTGCATTTATTTTGCTTTTGAGCTTTTTGTTTCAAACCTCAATAAAGGTGAGTAAAAAAAGGATTCCTATCTACCTTCCCAAAATACACATTTGTTTTCTTACCTTTCTAATAGTTGCCACACATATTGCCGAAAGGTTTAAGGGGTCTATAGCTTCCAATTTCATTCCTTCTTTAAACCATTCTCCAGATGCGTCAACCTCTTTTACCTGAAGAATCACACAACAGTACCAGAAGCTAAGAGTCTAACGAGCCTGGAACAAAATGTAACCCCACACCGTCAAAGCAACAGATAGAAATACCTGTTCTATCATCTCTGTGTATGTAATGCAGCCAAATTAGGTAAGTGTTTGAATAAAAAAAGCAATGCTCTGCTGGGTAGATTTCTAGGACTTACGGCAGAGTTTCAGTTCTGTTTTACACACACCAGGAACCAAGGGTCCTCAAATCAACTCTGAGAAAAGTCTTGTTGCTAGCAAACTCACCTTCATAAACAAATGTGGGGGTGCATCAAAATGTCCATCCTGTTTTTTTGTAATATCTACAAGGAATAACAGTACATATTATTAAGAAGCTTTGTTAATAGAGCAGACAGTATGTTTTCCTGAATACGTTAACAAGTACGATGCAATCATATTATTGGTGTGGGAGGCCCACAGTTTTTCACACTACCACAAAAATCCAGAGGCCATAACTCATCTATTTTCCTTATTGACTTCTACCTGAAATACCTCTGTAACACAATCTCATTTATGGGGAAAAAAAAATCCAATATTTACAAGACCACTTGATTTTGTCACAAAATTGATACAAATATACATAAAAGCTTTCGCAAAAAATCGGCAAGCAAACTACTTTGCACTATGTTATGACAGAAAATTATATTGATATGTATTTTTATATAATCACTTTAAATACACACATGTAGGTGGCTTTAGCGAACTGTTGAATACTGCTTTCCAAGGGGAATCCCTGGAACTCTGTTCGAACATTACTTCTGGGAAGCAGCACTGTTCTTGATTTCTCCAACTACTCTTATTTATAAATAGCTTCAGTGAATCTTTAAGCTCTAGGAAAACTGAAGGTTTTCTCCTGAAGGGATGCCTTGTGGAATGTTTTATAGAAATTCTTTTTCTGACGAGGGACACAAGCTCAATGGAGCAGAGAAATATTAAACCAGACTTTTTTTTAATTTAGAAATCGTAAAGATTTCAAATGACAAGTATTTTTGTATTTTAGATAACAAGGGCCTTAACTGTGTACCATCTATTAGACTGTCACTTCATCTTCGCTGCACATCTCCTAATGCCCTCTACAACATGTAAATCTACCAACAGAAAAATATTATATATTCCTTAGACTTGCAATTAAAAAAAAAATCAGTATCTAATAGGATACTTGTCCATGTTGTATAGTACAAAAGAGACAAGCATGAAGAAACTAGGAGCTTGCGGAGCAGGACTGTCTATCAGGTATCAGCATGAAAACTGAAGTTTACCATGCCTGAACACTGCAGTTCAAGGTTTTCCTGCCTAGACAGTTTGTTAACCGCTGTTTATCATTTAATCTTTCTAGATACTGACATGCTACAAATCAACTAAAAAACTATCTTGGATTTTCCAATGCTGCAAAATGCATAAATTATACTTTTAACTGAAACTCCTAAATGTAGTATAATTGGTAAAACCCCTGGAATGCAGTTTATAAATTTTTAAAGATCATTATTCAAGCTCGTTTTACTAACTGTATGAAGTCACAGTACTGCTTAAGTCAGACTTCTCTAAGCCAATACTGCCCACAGAGACTGCTAAAAACCAACCAGCTTACCAGATCTTTTGAATCTGTGTCCTATACTTCGAGACCAACCAATGTGATGAATGAGTGGACTGTACATATGGCACCAGAAGTCATCAGTTTTGTCCTCGCTTTCTTCGTACACCAATCTTAACCGTCCCCCAATGACACTTTCTACAACTGCTACCCTTGTTCGACAAAGGTGCGTTTTGTCAACAACTTCTACTCTCATGGAAGTTTTGAATGGATACTGCATACTCTCAGATACCTTAAAGTAACAGGGAAAAAAAACCATCCTGTAAGAATACACTGGTTTTCCTTGGCCATCTGTCTTCTATTAAAGCACAGTATCAATGCACTTTTCATTTAAATTCAAGCACTTGTTAATCAGCCTGCTAGAACGACAAATGATTTCTCTTATGTGTCATTGTACATGGGGAAAAATGAAAATTTTCAGAAAACTAAGTAGGATAGATTTCAAGCACTTGTTAATCAGCCTGCAAGAACGACAAATGATTTCTCTTATATGTCATTGTACATGGGGAAAAATTAAAATTTTCAGAAAACTAAGTAGGATAGATGCTACAATGCTTTAGCTGTATCAAGTACAGCCTCTAATACAATTCTCACATAGGTTACAGGAATTTCCATTGACTTAATGAAAGTTTGTTCAGCTGTTAATGATGGCTCAAATTACCTTGAGAAACAATTTTAACAAGAAAAAAACCCCAAGATTTTTTTGCTTTGTCATCCACTCAAAATACAGCACTTTAAAAATAGGATTAAAATACTTTATAATAAAAAGCTTGGAAAATAAACCTTTAACATAATTAAAGCTGGCCAGTCACATCTTTCTTCATAATATAGGAAAAAGAAAGGAAGAAAATAGAAATAGATGTTAATCTGCCTTGTGACAATACATTCTGGTTAAAAAAAAAAGAAAAAAAAAGTTAGTGTCTGTCACTTGCCATTTCCACCATGAACTCCTCAAAGTGCTGAGACCTTGCCAATTTAATTTGGCAGAAAGGTCTGGTTTTTTTTTTTTTGTTTAATATTAGATGTAGCGTAAGATAACAAATAAGTCTCATATTCCTAAAAAAAGCTATGTACCATCTCACTTACAGCACACTATACAGGCAGCTGCCACACTTAAAGACATGACCATGACTTAAAGACAGAAAAAAAATCTAGTCCAGAGCAGATAAAAAATACTAACATTGAAAAGTATGTACTCTATTCTCTCTAGATATGTGCTATGTTAACACATTTTGTTCAGTTTCTTGAAATAGTGCATGATAAAAATCATTCCTGAATTAGAAAAATTTTTAATTTTTCTTACATATCACAGGGTAGCTTATTAGTATTTTTTTTAACTGGAGTATTTTAAAATTAAAATAGACTGACTAGTTTTTAAATAAAATTATTTTCTGCTAGAGGAAACAGTTTTCCAAATACATACTGACAAGTGTGGACATAAATGGAGAATAGAGATTCCAAGGAAAACTGTATTTAAGGGAAGAAACTACTATGTCATCTTCACTATAAAAGGAGCTAATGTGCCATTGTAAAATACTTCAGTTCTTCACACTGTGCTGCAATTTCTTTTACAGTACATCATTGATATTGCATCAGCCTTACCTTCTGAGAAAAGTCAGGAGGAAGTGTTTTGGCACCAGTAAGTCGTTTCACTAGAAAAGCTTTCCAGTTTGTGTATTTGTGTTGGATGGCTGTTGCAAATGAAGGGGAAAAAATAAGCCACTGATTTTTAATTGTGTCCATTAGAGACAATATTAGAGTCTGGAATATGTAAAGAAGAAATCCCAGATGACTGTTAAAAGGCCTGGATGACAATAATGACAAAAACCTCTTTAGAGAATGAATGCTACCCAATGGGTATGTCAGGGCAAAGAATTTAATAACAAAATATAAATAAAATCAGTGCATGTTCACAGCACTGATTAGCTACCTGCTTCCACCTTGATCTTAAAAACTTTGTCGCATCAGATGGGCTACTCCAAGAAACACTTCCAGCATCAGTCACGTCCTTATTTTTCCAAAAGTTAAAATGATTTATTCATAACTGCTGAACGAGTTGCTATGGTAAAAAAATACTTTGACACCTGGACCATGAGCAAATTTAGTTTAATAAAAAAAAAAAAACCTTTTCTATCAATCAGTAAGGCTACTATTTACATACTTCGAGGAGGGACTAGGGGCTTCCCACTGGTTGCACACCAACCAACTGGGTGGATGTCAGACCCACAAACGTTGCACCAGAAGTCAAGACTGGAATCATTTTCAAAGCCTTCATATCTCAGCAGAGCATTGTAGCCTGAAAGAAAGCAATCCCATTTAAAAATTTAACATGATTATAAAAAGATGTATTAATATTTATTTTCCAATCATAAAGTATGTTACACTGGATTTTCTAGACTATAACTTTTTATAGAACATTATTCTTATGGCACATTTTGGCATGCTATTAATGCACAGGATGGATTACTTTGATAAGTGTGCATGTGCTATCATGTAAGTCAAACTTTAATTAAAATTCTTGAATGATAAACCTTTAGAAGTTAAGTGTAGGAGGACAAAATTAATTAATTACCCACAGTATCTCCTTTTTCATATCTCAGCTATCTGACCTTGAATTTCTAACATTTAACCAACAAAAGTGATTTGTATAACAAGGCTTACTTGCTAGCTATTCTACAATTGCCTATCTCCTCATTCTGCGCTGCTCTTACTGTACTCTGAGGCAATATGAAAAAAACCCCAGGCATTCTCAAGCATCACTGAAGGCAGCGTAAAACAGTGTAACACAGCAATAGTCCTAAAACATATAATCTATCGACACACCGCTGACAACCTAACCAGCATCAACATTCTACTAACCAGGTGATGACTGACTAAATTATTAGCTCCCTTCACACCGTTATTTTGATTATTTTAATAATTTCACCTAAAATATATTTACCTGCTAATTTTACAATTCCAGCTATCCAGAAGACTTTGGTAGGTAGGCTGCAGTCAGTATTTGGAACCTCCACTCGCACTCCTTCCGAGATATCACCCCAGCATGTCCCCATAGGTGCCTGTCATTGAAGGTAGGGGGGAAAGTCACCAGTTCACCACATCAAAGTAATTATCTTTGGTTATATTAGTGTTTTACAAGCAACTTAAAAAGACAAAACAATCAATATAGGTGATAAGACATAAGCAGGTGTTTAGGAAACACTTTCTATGAAAACTTAGTTTGGTTTTGATTTGAAGCTTATGTGTAGTATTGTAGTATATGACTATTACTGTGTATTTCCTGCAAAACTACAGGATTCCAAGTTTAAAAATCTGTAAAGCACAAGCACAAATTGTACATACTCACAGGTCAGCTTTATTCTCATGTTTCAACTACGTGCAAGCTACTGATTTGAGTGAGAATGGTGTAATTCCTTTGCAATTCTATTTGCAAGAAAATTATGGCACTTTAAATTCCTACCTGTACCACAGACATCAAAATCTTTACATTCTGTAAATCACAATTATTCCTGAAAAAACACCTAAAAGTTAGTTCTTGAATCTATTCTGATGATTTATTATGGTGGGGTTTATCATCCACTGGTTCACATCCTCACAGAGGAACAGGCTTTCACATCACCTGCAAGTGATCATTCCATCAAACAAGCAAAAAGAAGAGAAGGCTGAGGGGCACCTTTTAATGAATGCCAAAAGGAAATGCACAGCCAGGTTCCTGACACACTGTCTTGAAGGCTTAGACTAATGTGTTCACAACGAAAAGATACACAAGCTTGATGAACTATTAAGGATTTGGGGAAACTGGAGATAAAAGTTACATGTAGTTTACAATCTCAAGAACAACACTTTGTTGTTCACGAAATCATCATGAAAAGATAGTCAAAGATGGTGGCGCAGAGATATCAGAAATGCACAGTCCTGAAGAATCTAAAACCTTAAAAGTTACTCAATCGAAATTATATTGGTAACAAAATAGAAAATTACTCAGTCTACATTAAACTAAGAAGGGAAAGATTCAGACTTAGGGTGTTTTAGAACAATAATCATATATTCTAAGGTGTTCCGAGAAACATATTCTAATCAGTTCAGAGAATACCCAGATACTACAGGGACAATCGAAGGGGTCCTCTGGTTCTGTACTGTTGTGGGCAGACCGTATTCCAAGGCTGTGTCTCATTTACAAAGCTCTTTGCAAAAACAGAGAATTTAACTGCTCAGTGGGAACAGCCTCTAACATCACAGAATTTTGGCTCAGAGCCAAAAGTGAAGAAAGTTGGATTAATCCTGAATGAGTGGAAATCATCCTGAAATGATACTGAAATTTCGCTGGCAAACAGCAATAGCCAACTAGCAGCACTAAGAGCCAGACTTATCTTAAAAAGGGATACCATTCACTAGTAAGAATATTTGAGGCTAGGCATGCAAAACTTAAAGCTAGTTTTAACTATTAAAGGGAAAACAAGTTATTGCAAGTATGCCAGTTTCCTTTCTTGAAGCCCGGTCTCTTCATGTTCTGCTATGTCCCATCTACACCAGTCTAGACTGCAGAGCTCTTTTCTGCCATCTGGCAGACAGAGAAAAAAACAACTTGAAAGATGATGTCTTATTTTCACACACAAAATATGCAGGTACAGCTCTTTAATCAAGTCCTATTACATATTCGCTATCATCTCTAAATTGACATGTGTAGCTTTTTTGAATTGAATTGGGGAAATAAACTTTTCAAGCTGCATATTTTAGTAAATCTTGTTGCCTTCTATAGAGATACAGGTGAGGCCAATCAGAACAGCAGTGCTGAATAACTTCATAATACAGCTCCACTTAACTGAAATATATTTTACTGCCTGCTCATCTATTCAGTTGATTCAGAGAGAAAAGTATATTTAAACACTTCCCCTCATGTCAACTAGTAATAGAAATGTCACAAATTTTTATTTCTAGAACGTGGATTGGTATAGAGGGAAATAGCAGAAAGTTAAATTTGTCCTTGTCTGTGAAAATATTGGTTCTGCTAGTTCTCCTACACCAATCCATATGGCTTACCCTTTAGAAGAAGGAAGCCATCCTGTGTAGCATCGCTACTGAAAAGCCAGATAACGTTACTGTCCTGAAGTGGTGGCTTACAGTATACCTGGCATACTGTGCCATCTTTTCCTTTTTCACTCATTATGAATATTCTTAAGGGAGGAAGGCTGGATAAACCAGGGCTATAACAGCCATCTTCCTTTGTGTCTTCTCTGTCTTCATCAAATTAATCAATGTTTGCACAGCTTTGAAAAACTCAAAGCACCACGTAAGGGTTAAAGTCTTATTCATCTGCTGGCTGGAAAAGTTACCTCTGAAGTGTGGATTGGCATAGTGCGAACTAGCAGAACCATCATTTACAGGTAAGAACAAATTTACCTTTCAGACTCATGACGAAGAGATCCACTTCACATCACCCCCAAACAAGGAAGATCTGGTTCATCGCTTCCTGCTCCGGGAGATGACTTGGGAGGGTTTATCTGTGAGCAGCAGCTGCCTTCTCTGCAAGGTAAGTTGCAATCAGGAAGGTCTTGTTTGACAGGAGCACCTAAAGGCTGAGTATCCTCACGTGCCTAGCTGAACAACCATCTCGTGGCTTCTAAAGGTTTTGCCATGATTTCAGACTTGAAACTTGAATCAGGATTTTAATGGCAAAGTGATGCTACCAGTTCCTGAAGCCTAAGGACACTATGCTGATACCTTGTGTGAGAACAGTACCCGCACAAGAGGTAATGCCAGAGAAGACAATGTGCGAACACGTTTAAAATAAAAAGTTCACAGCAAAGCACTGCCACCTCGTGTAAAATCCTGGAAATGCTCCCTTAGAGCAAACTATTTATTTATTTGTTTAAATAACAAAAGAAAAAAAGAATGAAAATATTTCAGCTCAGAATAAAATTCAACTGGAAGAAAGACTGAAAAATTCTTAACTTCAGAAAACGTGGTTCTTACTAGCAACAGAGTAGAAAAGAATAATCACTCTGAATTGTGCCTTAAATTGTACATTAAGTAGTACTGACAAACAACTCAAAGCACTGTATTTGCTTTCATTTCTAGGAATGGTTTGAGCTAATAAAAGCAAATATAGAAAAAAAAAGCTGTTTAGAAGAAAATGAAATTTGAATGCAGGTTAGCAATGAGCACATCATGTGTTACTAAGCTATAACACAATACTAAAAACACCAAATTAAGAGCTTTCCTCCTTGCATCAGCTACTGCTGTGTGTCTGCTTAACACAACACAACAAAAAAAAAAAGCTGCAAGGTGCACAAACTAACTCTGGCTTTGTCACAGGCTTCCTATATGACATAAACCAAAGCAGCTTCTCTACTTCACTTTTCTGAACTATAAAGTGGGCACAGTTGTACTACTGCTAGTGAATTTCATTAGTGTTGCTCAACATTGAAGTCTGGAATGAAGGTAACAGGGAAGTACAAAAGCCACATTAAAGGGACCAAAAGACTTTGAGATTAATTCTTCTCATACAGAGAAAGAGATAGAGAGAACTTCAAGATTTAAATGTGTTACTTCTAAAATGTAACTATTTTAAATTGAAGAGGAAATAACTCCCCAGGCAATAAAAAAAATGCTCTGGGAAAATTACAGACCTGAAACGCTGAAGTATGTCAGGTTATTAAAAAAAAAAAAAATCCAAATCCCACAGTTTATCATTCCCTTAAATTTTCTTTAATATTGATCCAAATGTTCCCTACCAAATATCCATACACCCAGCATAACCAGACACATGTTTTATCTAATAACAAATTCAAGGGTAGATATGTCATGATCTTACTGTCAATACAGAACTTTTGTTTTGAACAGAATAAGCTTTATACATTCAATCTCACGGACACATACAACATGTGCATGGAAACCATGACATGGATGGGAAGCAAACATCAACTAATACAAACTTTTATGAATCAAAGCAATATAGTACACAGAAAACAGAGCAATAGTCTTTCCAGATAGACAAAAAGAGTATTGTCTCTTAATTATCAATGGAGAGTGTGGAGGGGGAGAGAGAGAAGGATCTAACATGAGAGTATTAATGTGTTTTCAGATTCTGACTGGTTTAAATAATATATTTTTCAAAGAAATAATTACAGTAAAACTAAATGCAAATCATCATATCCTTGTAACACTAACTGATGACCATCAAAAAAGTAGAAGTCTCCAAAGGAGATTGCAGAAGTTGCATTTAACTTGTATAAAAAAGGAAAACAGGGAAGAAAAGGAACAACATTCAGGCTTAGTAGCACTGTTGCCATGCAGCTTGTGAAAATTTTCAAGGTAAAATATGAACATTAGTACTGTGTATGTTCACATTATCAGTGTACTATTACTATTTAATGAATGAAGCAGTAAGAAAGGAGGATAATTCCTTTTAACATGGAACGTTATAGCATAATTTACAAGTGACTTAACTATCACAGCTGTATCCTAGTTAAAGACGCCATACATCACAAAACATTTGGTACAATAGCACAGCCCACATGATCAAACAATATCTTCTGATATGTACTTATGAAATCACTTATACCATGTACATAACCGTGAAAGCAAAGGACAAACATGCTTACTTAAGCATGTGGAATTTGATACAAATTCATGAAGCTATACTAACGCAAGGCTCTGTTCCGGGCAATAGTTAAGGCCTCTGAGCATAAAGGCTGCTATTCAGAAAGTGCCAACTGCCAAGAGCCCTCAGCTCCTGCTGGTGAGTTGACAGGGCTCAGCACGAATTCCAGAACTGGACAGAAAATGTGTCTTTCTTCTCCCTTATGGACAACTTCCATAAACAAAATGTTTGTTTTGATTACCATTTTCATCAGATAATTTTGAGCAAGACAAAATTTTGTTAAGATGGAACACTTCACCTTCCCAAATAAAAGAAAAGTATGCTGAGGAATTCTGTCAGAAAGTATTTACTTAAGAGACAGTAAGTACTGACAATATTTTAAATAAGATCTAATAATTGGAATTCATGAAACACATTGAAGACAGATGCTGCTAAATATTTTCATCATCCCCTCATTACATTCTGTAATGACTGAAGATGTCTTGTTTGGAAATTTGGTAACTCTAATACAAGGAAAACCAACCTCTTTCATTTCAGATTTCTAAAAAGCCTTCACTTTCCTCTATTTCTACACTATCTGGCAGTACAACTGACAGGGAGAATCTAACTAAAAACTACAAAAAAAAATCCCAAATCCAAATATGTAACCAAAAGATCAGTTCAACATAATGCAGCAAGCCTGACTCGATCTAAAAAGCCTTTTCGTAACTTTTTCCAGTACAGCATGACCTGGTTCGTTTGTTAGTCTGTAGTGCATTTGATTATTTTGCACCTTGAATGTGAGAAAAATCACTAAGAGTCCTCCTTTCACTTTGTTTATGAGAACATATATGATGAGAGTAACTGATAGTGCTCACACTAATGCAGTGTTCATGCTAACATAGTTTACAATCTAAGTTTCATAGTCCAAGGCCATGAAACATATTTGGATATGAATGTTTTGGAAAAATTAAAGAATTAACATGGACTCTCTCTCTCTCTCATGCACACACACAAAAGGATAGCACATATTGAAAAATACTTACATGTTTAAAACAGGTAACAGGAGCTGCTGTAAAGCTATTGCTATTGATGTAGTTACCCCAGCTGAAACCTTCCGCAGGGACAGCTGCTAAGAGAAAGTTATTTTATTTAGGGAGCTGCTAATGAGCCACAAATCTTGTATTAACAAGAATTTCTTTCAGCTCTGTACACCATTACCTGCTTTAGTCTTTGCCTGGTTTTGTAAAGTTGCTTGGTACTGAGCGTATGCTGCTAATTTAGCCACTAAAGGTTGTTTTTGTAGAACTTTAGCCTTCTTTGTTGGAGGTTTACCCTAAAACAAAAAAAAAAAAAAAAGCTGAGTAAATAAAGTCTTTCCAAACTCCCATCAGGAAATTTCCAGAGGTCTGTAGCATGTCTCTGGTAGAACACCACAGAACAGAAATTGACTCAGTATACAAAACTACATATAATACTGAATAAATTTAAAAACCAGTAACAAAGAACATCCAAAAGACGACTAGTATTCCAACTTGAACAGCATTACAGATTCATTGTTGTTTGCCTGAAAAAAAGATATCTTCTAAAAGCAGGTCAAAAGGGAGAACTTTTTACCTGATTTATAACAATGCGATTTCTTGGCCTTTGTTGCAATGAATTTGAGAGAGGATACAACGATATTTCTTGAATGCTGCAAATATACCTTCATGAATGTTTAATATTTGATGTGAACAGACCAAAACCCAATTTCCAAATCTGTATCGTTAAGTTTAATAATCTGTATCAAAAACTAAACACAACAATGCTAAATAAACCTTTATGCTCTCTAAAGCCAGAAAGTATCTTGGGTACGAGATGCAGGGAATTTCAGGTCACTACATATGTACGCTGAAGATTTTTCCTGAGCTTTTTCTTGCAGAAGGGCCACGGCAGCAAAAATGAAATAAGGAGTCAGTATTCTCTGTAATTTGCTCTGCCAAGCAAAGTAATTTGTTCATTACTGATACAGTTTTGAGTTTGGGCTTACAAAATCACTTCTGTAGAAATTTTAATGTGTTAAGAAACTTATCTTAAATCACCATGCAAGTTTTACAAATGTACATGTTTTACAAACACAGACGATAAGTATATAAAGAAAATGGTGTCTGTACCGCTACCTGAAGTCTGGCCAGAATGCTGGCCTTCTTGGAGTTCGATGAATAGCTTCTAGAGCATGACACACTGCAGAAACGTTTTGTTTTAGAGTAAAAAGCGTCACGGACACCAACCATTCCACACATCTCGCATGTAGCTAATCAGAGGAGAGAAAAAGGCAAAGTTAAAGAATGTAATAAAGCCTTCAGCAAAAATTCAGAACAAAGATGACATAAGGAAGGTCCTGCATGTGGCATCACCAAACAGTTTCTTAGGGTTTGACCCTGAAGAGAATTGCCCAGAAAAATAACTTAAAATAAGAACACCACCACAAATACCAGTGAAACACTAAAAACGTCAAGTTCATTTGTGAAAGGGTGCTTCCTTTCTGCTCCCTATTAATTTTACCACTGGCAGAAGAGAATGACCCAGCTAAATCAGCTAATGCTGATTTCTGCGTTCTCATGGTTCTCAAGGAAACATCTGCTTTGAATCTGGGCCTGCCAGTCTTGATTTCCTCTAAATATTTAATACTTCCAACCTGAAGTAAAACCAGATCTCTTTTCTGAATCATAAATTAATATACCCAAAGTACCCTAGCCCACCAATATTCTCTTCTAGCTGGAATCGTATGCTTCAGACTTTGACAGCATCACTCACTGAGTTGTTCCATGATGAGTAAGAGTTTGTGACCAACTTATGACAAAGATTCTACCCAGAGAGAGCTCTACTAATCACTAACGATTTTGGCTAAAATATTTTTTTCCCCTATGATAAAAACAATCTTCCCTTTTTTATTTTTCCAGTATACTCCAGCTCACAGCTAGTGGGCAGTGAACAGGCATACACTGACAGACTTTATACTGTAGCAGCAATGAAGATTTCCTAGTACAGGAAGAAATTTATTTTAATACATTGTATATATAACATAAAGGGTAGAGAGAATATATGTCCAAGTAACAGAACACACTGATATTTTCCTCAAAGCTCAAAGAATAAAAACAATGTACATGAGAACATCCACATGCATGTGCATTTATACACCACACACATGTGATGGGAGGGCAAACGTTCCCATACTCTTTCCTCACAGCAGGATTCAAAAATTATCTTATTTCAGTTTAACAAAAACCAGCCAATTCCCCCTCCCAAACAAAGAAACCGGCCCCAACTTTCAGCTGTTTTGGTCCATTTTCCATCAGGACCAACATTTGGGATTGGATCCTCACAAATCACAGCCCAGGCTGAACAACATAAATATCAAACTCTTTGTACTCACGCATCACACACTTACCCATGCCAGATTTGCCATCTGGATACGTATAGACCTGTCCATTGTTCTTTATAATGGGGAGACTGGACGGCAAAGGAGAAACCTCCTCTTCACTCTCATCTGAACTGGAGCTGCTGCTGGTGTCCTCACTACAACTATCATAACCGTCAAACATCCCGAATGAATCACGTCTTTTCCTTTCTGCTCGTAAAGTATATTCTGTCTAAAAATTAAAAAAAACAAACAACAAAACCCCCAAAGAATAGCAGAGCATTCTGAATGGAAATATTTCAAAGTCAAGCTTAAAAAGTTTCAAAGGTCAAAGCCAGCCTTCAAAAGCAGATGTACTAACAAACTGCTCTATCAGCACAGAAGCATAAGCCATATACTGACAATTAATTATTATTAATATAGTCAAAACTAGCCAATTTTGGGTATTGTGATATACAGGAAGAAAAATCTATCTCACGATCCACTGAGAACACACAGTAGCAGTCCATACATTTCTTTTTCTTGGTATCTTCAGAGTGCATTAATCCTGATGTGCTGAATAATGACAGGCACACCGATCTTACATGCAAATGAGCACATTCCAGATGGCTGCAGCCAATTTCACTAAAATTCATTCATTTGAGAAAGCTGGGCAGAGAAAAAGACAGTTCTACCAAGAGGGCACTATTCCACAAGAACAGAAATGAGAGGATATCTCTGCTCTCGTTGGCTCGTGGGGTTATCAATAGACCGCTCACCTTCCCTGTGATTCAGTTTCTCACGTGTGAAACAGGAATACCTCTCTACCTCACAGGGATGTTCTGGGGATTAATACATTAACAATTACGAAGAGCACAGTTACTATGGCAATAGAGTCTGTGTAAATGCTAAAAGATAGAAAGGTGACTAATTTGCTACTGTCATATACAAAATAGTTACATAACAGTTTTCCTATAACGACAAATTCTGAGGTGAACTAAAAACATACAATCTTGAAGAATGCATAACAGTTAAGCTATTTCCAGCAAAGACATTAAAGCATAAATAATAGATAAACTGATGCACTTTTTCTGATGCACATCCAATACAGGCATTTTAATTCAGTGACAACTTTCACTTTATTAATATATTACACAGCTCTACTGAAACAAGGCTACTCCTATGTCAGCTGTCCTGATTAAGCCAAAAAAAAAGAGTAAGTTTCAATGTATTTCCATTATCCTTAAGAGTATCTACTAGGCTTGAGAGGAAATAACAGATAAAGAAAAAATTCTACAATGGAAGCACAAGTTAGGAGAATGAAGTACAGCCAAGAAAACAGAAAAAATATTAAGAAAGCCTTTCCCTCTACTTCCTTTTCCAGGAGTTAATTTTATTTCAAGTCATTGTAGACAGAAAAATAATAATATGGGATTGGACTTCTCCCTCTTAAATTGTATTTGGATTCATAGCTTTAAGATTTCATCACAGTAATTCCCCAAATCCCTCTCCTATAGAGTGTATGCCTGAACATCTTTACTGTTGGATCTCATCCGAGCCTTTTTCTGCCATGCTAACCCTTTATTATAATTTTCTCTTATTCTCATGTGCAATCTGACTAAATCCTATTATGGAAGGATTTCCTTACAGTTAAAAGGGAAAACTGATTTCCACACTGACCCAATCCTAGCATCCAATTAAAAAAAAAAACCCAAACCAGTAAGCACAAAAGGTTATGCAATAAGGTAAATAAATTTAAAACACTTAAAGCAACTCTGAAACAAAAGAAAAAAGGTCAGTGTAATGTTAATTATGCACACATTTCCTCAGCCAACTATCCGAATTTATATTAAAAACAACAAAACGTAGGATGTGGCATAACCTGACACCTCCTTGAAGGAACTGGCATCTGGCGAAGTAGCTAGGGTAACAGCCGCAGCCGTTAGAGGAAACAGGGAGTGCTGGCAGAACAAAGCCTAGTCCTGACCTGCGCCGGTAACAAGTCTTACCTGCACACTACTACTGATGCTATTGGCCAGCAAGATGCAAGATCAGGTATTTGTGGGTGCACGTGTGTGGAGATTAATGCAGAAGTTGAGCATGTTGCTATGGATACAGCGTTCTGCAAACAACGCCAGTAATTTACAGATCAGAACATGAAGACTAGTTGTCTTCTTCAAGATTTCAAGAGCTCCTTACTGTCTCACGCTATTTAATTTTCCCTGACCACAGCCTCTGCTAAGAAATACAGCGCAGTACCATACTAACCGTTCACAACAGGAACACCAGAACACCGTGGTGCCTTTAGGATCATGGATAGATACTGGTGGTGTTTCAGAGCCCATGGGCAGGATCTCCTTCCTCATTCACTCATCCTCCACAAGTCAGCTGGTCTGATTTCACTATGAGATTAGGGCCTCATCCTACATAAAGAAGGACTTCAACTCTTTAGCGAAGGCTGCAGCACAAGCAGGTTGGAGGCAAGATGAGGGGCCAGTGGCACAGAAGGGATGACACGCAGCTCTAGGCAAGCTGAAGCACGGTGCAAGATCACAATTGCAGATACCAAAATAACACAGTTGGCTCATTGTTAGGGGCTCTTCTTTTGCATCACATACATTTAGAACCTCAATATTACTGTCAAGGCCTCTTTGACAAAATACCCACAGATGAGAAAGAAAACATTTTCACCTTCTACATGGAAAGCTGAGCCCTCCATTGAGAAAATCGTTCTTCAGCCTAATACAAGTTTCTACGTAGCAATCATCAAGTTTATTGAGTTTAACTACACTGTCAAAAGAACTCTCTCATGTATCACCATTACTTTATATTTAGCCAAATCATCCCAGTTCAAGTTGTGATTCAAACCAGCAGCTTTACTTATTGTTTTAAAATAATATTGTAGCTTTTATAAAACATTTTTATACAAGTTTTTTTGCCAGAAGATGATCAAGTTTGCCAGATAATTTACATAGGACATTCTTAATGTTAATTTATAGTTGTTATCTGGATTGTAATTCTGGGGAAATTACTCAAAATATGTTTTGTGAGACTTGGAAAAGGTACAGTTTTGCAACAAAAAAATCCCAAAGTACTTTGTGCACAGAAGTAGGTGCAAGTTAGGAAAGACAACATGCAAATGCCCATGTTGGAATTTTGCTAGAGCAGATCAAAACATCTCTATTTTGATAATAAACACCCTAAAGTTCTTTTTAACTCATGTTGAGAGACAACATTTGTAGAAACAAGCGAACAACATGTGGAATCTCTGATAACCCTTCCTGCAGAAGTTAGAGATCCTACTCTTTTGAAAACCCCATCTAACACCTGAAACAGCAAAAAGTTGGGGTGCCACTCTGAACTCAAAGGTCAAAAATAATATCCTTACAAAAAGGACAATATATGTCTCAAACAGAACCATAACTGAGATAAAACAGCTGCTTCGGAACAGCAGCAGCCTGCAATTCCTGCACAAGTGACGAGCAGCAGCTCCATCAGCCTTACCAGGTGACCAGCAGTATTCTGTCTGACAGAAGCACCTACCATGGTACCTACGGGACCTCTGCAAACAGAGGCCTCAGAAAGAACAGCTCATGACCCTGCACCATGTTCCCACTGAATTTCCATACAGTGTCTATGAGAACGCAGTCCTTCACTCAGAAAAGCTACCAGAGACTAACAGTAGTAGTAACTCAATCTAACAATTACAACTGTAGTAAAATCAATCCATGTTTCACAATATAGGCATCAAGGGGAAAAAAAAAAGGCTCCTAACCTTAGAAGATGGATTTAGCACTAAAAATCATGCTGAGGAGGTTGTCTTTTCCTCAAAACTGAACCAGATCAGTGTTCCTCACCTTCTGCAAAACACACTTCGAGCAACAGTCTGGCTTACTATAAAACATAGAACCTGGTAGCTGGTTAATAGCGTAAGAGCAGCAGCTTAAGTCACTCCACCACTAATTGAGTCTATTGGTACATTAAGCACAAGCAATGCACAAAGAAAAGAACATGACAAACTTTTAGGCATATTGGCTGAGGCTGATTTTCATAACGAGATTACCGGTTCCTCAACAGGAAAGATTTTTAGGCAGAGTGATACAAAGTCTAGGGTAAGCGGGACTGGCAAATAAGCCTGTATGATTACTGGCTTGGGGGTTTTCTTGCATACTTTTCTTTATTGAAGGGATGGGTGGAGAAAGGAACTCTTAAGAACTGCTTTCTTATTCTGCCCAACTTCCCATTTTCCTGTTCTTCCTCTCCTCCCTGTAAATACTTGGCAACAACATTTTAAAGCAATACTCTTAATTAACCATTACACAAGGCAAGCGGTACAATAAAAGAATATACTTAAGCAAATCAGTTTCTCTAAAAGCAGGAAGGCAACTCTAAACAAATATGAAAAATAACAAGCTTCCACTCTCTTAACATGTAGTCTTATATATATACAGTTGAATTTGGTCAGCACATAATCTTTGAGCATAATAACTACTCTTTCTGCATAAAAAATTGGTCACAAAGAGTGAACAATGCCTGACAAAACACAAAATAAAACCATTTAATGTTAATTAGATATCATATACTTACTTGTGAAATTGCTTTAGTGTCTTGATGAAGACTACGCTCAAGTATTGGCAAAATTTACGAGAAAGGGTTTTGAAGGGGAAAACTTGTGACAAAGAATACCCCATTATTAAACAACTGAACTGTCTGCCCCCAAATAAGTGTGTCCTGGCCAAAGGCAGATGATCCACAACAGACACAGAAAAGTTTCAAACCACTCAAAATGGTTGTTGTAACTACTGAATCAATTTGGTGCTTGAATTCAGAAAGGCAGTGATGTAGAGCCTTGAGTACAGGAGCTGTAGCTTAACAAAGGCCTACCAGCACCTGCACCATAGGCATCACTTTCCATATTCAGATCTAAACCCCAGAAACGTGACAGAAGTACGGACAGATGGTATTTGAGGCGAAGGTCAACAATGAGGTCACCACAACCTTCAAGCCAAGGGTCTGTGACAAAACACATCTATTTAATCACATATCCTTAACAGATCCTGCATTTCCCATATTTCCAAGTTGGCATTAAATTTGATGCACAGCTTTTGTTTTCAAAAGTTCATTAATGTTTTACATTACAAGCTTAGTTTTAGCTCTGGATGTTAGCATTAAGGAAACAAAATGATGGAACTAATTTATTACAACTCTTCTAAATGCAAGCTGGCCAAAATAATTTACTGGAGTAATACTAGCTTGCTCCCTGTGGAACTGAAGTCTAATTGTGCCTCATAGCATGACAAAAAAAAAAAAAGAAAATTCAAACATGGTACCAATTTAAAGAAAACATACTTTCAGCTTTCATTAAAAACAAACAAACAAAAAACCCCAAAGCTAAACATCTTGGGATTCCTGGAAATCAGAACCAACCAAACTTACTTTTTTATATAAGCAACTCACCTCTATCTGGAAATGTGCCTTCCACTCTTATTATAAGTAAAATCTCTGCTGGAAAATTACAGAAATGTTTTTTCCTGTCTCTTCATTTGCTATGTATGACAGCATTTTGTCTGAAGCCAGTTTCTGCTGTTTGCCAATGGTTTTGTCCATAGCCTCTTCCCCAGGGGGTTTCACACAAGAGGGGAGACTCTTTCATAAAAAAATATATCAAATTAGCAGGCAATTTTGGAGGGGGTGTGTGATGATTAATACGTGAAATATCTGAGTTTTGAGAAAACTGAAAAACTGTTACAAACTCTGTTATGTTTCTACAAAGCCCTTTCACACACGAGTATCTGGAAGAGGCAAATACTTCACTTTAAACACTGTGTTACCATTTTAAAAAAATCAATTTAAATGTAAAAAACCAAAAAAACCACCAACCCCAAATCAAAGTCACCTGAATATTCCATGTGCTCAGAGCCAAATTCAGCAAAATATCACACATGCCCAGAGCGTACTGACTTACCTGAGAAATGAAGGAATGCAGTAGCAGTTGGCAGAAGGTAGCAAAAGCCTTGTGAAATTAAATCAAATTTTAGAAGATAAGAGAAGTGAAAGCCAATGAGAGGGAACTTTTGTAAACATTATCATTACTGCCCCAGTCGTCCAGCTCTTTAGGGAACAATGAAGAGAATTATTACTTTCAGTCTACAATCCTTTTGCACGTGTGCAAGCCTACACACTCTCAAGAACAACACCTCAACTATTCTTGTGGCATAAACAATAACTTCCACATAGGAGAGTGTATGCCTCTGCTATGTTTCCCTATAGCTTACATTACACACTTCCTTTAAATGATCCCTATTCAGACACAACGAGTAAAGATTACTAACCTACCACGTTTGATTGCTTTCTTAAAGGAATATAGTATTTTAGTTCCCATTTAATGTGCTAGATTAGAGTCTCTCAGAGCATTTTTATTCCATTCCTTACAAGTTGAAATCAGACTGTTCTAAACAAATACAACAAACAAACAAGTAAAGGCAGGTTCTCAAACCTACAAAAGATTTTTTTTTCTAATTTAAAATACCGAAGACTGCCCTGCAGCCTTCAGATTTAACTGGTTTTAGATGTGAAAAATCACAAGGGCTGCCGCCCACGTTTTAAATCGTTATTTTAAAATGAATTACTTTTTCACAGTCAGTAGTTTCAACCATAATCAGCATATCCTTTGTATCAGTTTTTTTTTTTTAAAGACACACTGGACAGAAATTGCTACACTTTAAAACATTTCTAGCAACATCCCGAAAATGAAACTGGTTTCACGGGTTTACTGCTCCTCACATGAAGAACAAAGTCACAATATAAGCAGTCATAAATATTATATAGAGGGGAGAACTGGATACAAAGAATGCTGAACTTTTGAAGTGCTAATATTAAAGAATACAGCACTTAAAATGAGCACGACTGGAAAACTGAATCTGAAAGGCTTTAACTCCAAGAGGAAGTTGCTGAAAAACCAGGACTTCAGCTGGGAGAAGCGCACCCCGAGCACGCCCGCACCGCTCCGCACGGGCTCAGCTCAGACTCCTCACTGCCGATCCTGACTGCCGGCAGGAAGGAGAGGGAGGGAAGGAAGAAAAAAAAGCAACAAACCCCAGCTCAACG